TGCAATATACTGTCTATTTACGTATGGAATCAAATACAAACCCTTAATGTAGTCAAGTCCCCATCCTTACCTAACGCGCTGGCATGCTGCCTAGGCTACAGTACAGTCTGTACCGTCCTTGGCTAACACACAGCTATCGGTAGAAGTTACTTATCGTCAGGATGTCGTTCAAAAGTTCCGAGCGCGAACAATCCACACGACAACGACATGAACCACGACACAACACGACGATGTCGCCTTGGCTTTAGCTAGGTAGTCACCCAACTAATGTCAACAGGTCTCTGACTAGTTACTCCCTATTCAAGTGGTGTGGTCGAAGTGAAAACACGCTAACGCGCTAGCTAACTACTCCCTATTCGAGCAGTGTGGTCGATGTGCTAATATGCTAACGCGCTAGCTTAGCAGCCGAGAAAACTTGAACCAGTTCCGACTAGCTAATAACGTACATGTACAGTAACGTTAATTTGCAATAGTGTGTGCTGTGCAATCATTGCATTGTGATATGACACGCGTTGTTTACATTGGTACATCACACGGCTGTTTTAAGTATTGTTCACCTCGGCCGCAATATTCACATGAACGTGTATAAACTGTTGTTTTTTTTAAACTAGCTCGCTAGCATTAGCCGCTGTCGCTAGCCAGATGAAACTCACCCTTCCGACAGGCCAGACGGGAGCAAAGCAGCGAATATGTCGTGTGCTTCAACCGATTTTGGACAGGAATACAAGTGGACTGGCGTTTTTTTCGTGTGGTATATTTTCCTAGAAATTATTTCGGGTGTTCTCAAAGTTGTCAGCCGATTTTTCGCTTAACTGTAGAGTTGGTTGAAATCTCCACCCGCCTTGAACTACCGGGGAGGGAGGGGGGTCTGTGGGGGGAGCGCGATTATCGACGGGCAGATCGCAAAGATGGCGGGCGTGCGTTCCTACTGGCTCCGTGTCACCGCCTCCCTTCAATAAGGGGCGGGGACAGTGTAAAGCTCGAGGAAGTTAGTAATTACGGTGGCCGAGTAGTAGTGTCAAATCGGTGACACTACTTGGCCTCCGTAATAGCAAGAAAACACCCCGAAACTAACTGCGACTCCACTATAGTGATGGGCATTCCGGCTCTTTTCATACAGTGAGCCGGCTCGTTCGACACGGCTCACCAAAAAGAGCCGGCTCTTTTGGTTCCCAGACGACTATTTTTAAAAAACAGTACGATAGTTTGTTATTGTGTTAAAAGCAGAAAACCAGCGCGAATAAATACCGGGGGCTTAGCCCAATTTGAACGTAGAACTATCGACTGGTATGTTTAGAATATCACTGCTGTGTCATTTTACCTCTATAATGATTTGTGGATCTTGTTTCAAGAACTCCGGTCTAAAGCCGCGGAAGGCCACTGGTTAAAACAGTTCTACTTAAATTATCAATATAATCATAACAAAAAAGTAATTGGACAGTTATGGAAAAAACATATTATTAAACATTTTTGTTGAAAATATAACTTTTTAATGTTTATAAACAACATGCATATAAATCTAACCATATCATGCCCACATCTAACTTTACAGTTGGGTGAACAGTTCGCATATGGCGATGGAAATTGTGGGCAGACCCGGCTTTATGGGAGATTTTATTTAGGCACATTTTACACTTAGCTTTATAATTATATTATATAATTATATTTTATTTATTTATTATATAAATATATACGTTTGCGATTCATTTTTCCGATTTTTAGCTGTCGTCGTCTTGTGGCTGAGATGCTAAAAGTCGTCAATGTGTTAGTTGTCTTGTCTGTTGGCTAGACCCGCCCCCAGACCCCCTCACAGCTTGTCTGTTGGCTAGACCCGCCCCCAGACCCCATCACATCTTGTCTGTTGGCTAGACCCGCCCCCAGACCCCCTCACATCTTGTCTGTTGGCTAGACCCGCCCCCAGACCCCCTCACAGCTTGTCTGTTGGCTAGACCCGCCCCCAGACCCCCTCACATCTTGTCTGTTGGCTAGATCCGCCCCCAGACCCCCTCACATCTTGTCTGTTGGCTAGACCCGCCCCCAGACCCCCACACATCTTGTCTGTTGGCTAGACCCGCCCCCAGACCCCCACACATCTTGTCTGTTGGCTAGACCCGCCCCCAGACCCCAACACATCTTGTCTATTGGCTAGACCCGCCCCCAGACCTCCACACATCTTGTTTGTTGGCTAGACCCGCCCCCAGACCTCCACAAATCTTGTCTGTTGGCTAGACCCGCCCCCAGACCCCCACACACCTCAGAGCCGGCTCTTAGAGCGTCCCATCACTACTCGACTCTGCGTCAGAATATCCCAGAGGCCTTCCGATTCCATTGCTTTTGCAAATGTGTTAAATGTTCATGTTTACTTTGAGGATTTGTTTTTCATTGTCGTCCTCAAGACTTCTGGAACCTATGTTTTGCTGTTAACACCTGGAACATTAAATCTACCAAAACAGACATGTGGTTTTAATGCTGACATGCTATTTGCATTAAAAAAAAAGAAAATCATGGGGTGAAAAAATCACAGCGTGGATATTAGCTACGTTTACATGATGTGGATTGTTAGTCATCTCTCTCGTCATGCCATGAGTAGAATATATTGTATCTTGTAGTTAACCAGGTAAGTCAAGTGATAAACAGTTCAAACGCAACTATTTGAGAAGACAGTACACAAAGCAACATATATATAATAATACGACATAAAAAAGAATGTATAACAAAAAACATGTACGAAAATACAGATAAACGTTTTTTATATAAATACACAGAAACACATGCATATAAGAGTAGTCCATTCAGGAGTATTAATCGTTAAGGTATACAGAAATATGAGTGTGTCGTCTGCAACTAATGGCCGTCTGCAACTCATTACAGTAATAATGTGGTAGCCTATAGGTAGGCGTAACCAGTGATACATTTTCCTGGGTGCATGTTGCTTTTTAATTGGAGTAAAGCAAATGTTAACTAGTGATGTAAGATAGAGCAGGAATTTCAGTAAAAGATGCAGAACAAGTATAGGTTATAATACTGTACTTTCTTCATTATAATTTAGCTTAGTTTATTAAAGTGGCATCTAGATTAACTTTAAAATTTCAGATGATAACAATTGATGAGTTGAGGCCAGATCGTGGGTTGATGATATATGTAACGATTTTAAGTGCTTACATTTTTTTAACCTTTATTTAACCAGGTATCCAATTCTCATTTGCAACATTTTCACAATAGATACACAAAAAGTGCAAATAGCTTTGTGATTCTACATGGCAATACAGATTCAAGTAGAGAGTCAATGTACATATAATACAGGATGAGGTATAAGTAGGTCAGTTTGAGCAGCATTAATATGTCAATGACATATACATAATAAAAAAAGGTCAAAGTGTTTATAGCAGGTAGGTCATTAGTGCGCACAGATTCTATGACTGTGAGCCTTTTAATATGCTTGAGCAAATATAATTATTCATGAATGTAAACAGTTAACTGCAGTGCAGGTTAAAATGCTCAGGAGAAAGATCTGCTTCGCAAAATGGTCATGGCATAAGAGAAAAGAATGGATGGGTGAAAAACAGACGACAGTTAACACATACAGTGATAGGACAAGAGTTCGGACAGGAGTAGGCATTGGGTGAGATAAGGGTTTTAGGGGTTTTTGTAATTCGTTCCAGTCATTGGTGGCTGAAAACTGGAAGGATTGGCGGTCAAATGATGTGCAGGCTTTCAGGGTGACAAAGGCGATGTACCTGCTTGAGCATAGGCTGTGGGTGGGTAGAGCAATGGTGACTAGAGAGCTTAGGTACTGCAGGATATGCTTAGCAGGGACTTGTAAATGAGTTGCTACCAATGGGTTAAACTCTTGAGTGTTTTATGATGGCCAACCGACTAATGCGTAAAGGTTGCAGTGATGGATGTTGTATGGGGTATTGGTTACCAAATGTATAACACTAAGGTAAACGACATCCAATTGTTTCAGGAGAGAGTTTGAGGCAGTTCTATAAATGACCTCACCAAAGTCAAACAGTCAAACACCAAGGCACGTTCAGCAGTAGGAGTGGAGGCCCTGTTGCAGAAAAGGAACCCAATTCTAGACTTAAGTTTAGAATTGAGTTGGTTTATTTGGAGCTGGAAGGAGAGAGAGCTGTCTAACAAGACACCTAGGTATTTGTATGTATCCACATATACTAGTTCAGACTCATCTAGCGTGGCGATGCTAGTTAGACGGCAGGTGTTGGCAGGGATGGGTTGAACAGCATGCACTTAGTTTTACCAGAGTTTAGTAAGAACTGTAGGTTCAGAAGGTATGCGGAATGGTATCATCTGCATAAAGATGAATCTGAGAGTCTTCAACAGCGAAAGCCACATCGTTAATATAGTGTAAAAATAGCATCAAACCTTGTGGCATCCCCATGGAGACATCCATGGGTCCCGACAGCAGGCCCTCTGATTTCGCACGTTGGACCCTGTCGGCGAAAGATACTTGGAGAACCAGGCGAGACAATCGTGAGAGAAGCCCAGGCTATTGAGTCAGCTGATAAGAACACAATGGTTAACAGAATCGAATGCCTTGGACAGATCGATCTACATGGCTGCACAGTTGTGCTTTTTATCAACGGCGGCTATGATGTCATTTAGGATCTTAAGGGTGGCTGTGGTGCAGCAATGACCAGCACGAAAACCAGATTGCATAGCGGAAAGGATATGATGGGATTCGATGTCACATATCTGGGTGAGGTGCGTAGAAGAAGGAAGGAGCCAGGCACAGGATCCGTAACGTTGATGGTGTTTTTTTTTCTTCACTGACCAATGCAAAACCGTACTGACTAGTACTGGTACGAAATAACAAAATGAGCGACACAGCGCTTGAATGTCAACCGACAATTAATAATACATAAGATGTCCACAAGGACCTCTGAGAATATGTCGTCTCTCTCACAATTAAAATTTAGTTAACCTTTATTTAACCAGGCAGGCCAATTGAGAACAATTTCTCATTTGCAACAGCAACCTGGAGAGAAGCTGGGGATTGAGCCCAGGACATCATATGTACAAAAAATGCACTCTACCACCGAGCTACCAACTCCTCCAACACTTAACATGGAACAATACCACACAAAGACATGGCCAAACACAGGTCACCTATATAATCTACAGATGAGGGAATGAGCACCAGGTGTCTGCGATGACGAGACCGGACAATATTGTTACTGGGGGAGGGAACAATGGCAGCTAGAAGGCTGGAGACGACGACCGCCGAAGCCTGCCCGCAGGTGGCTATAGACTGGCTTCGGAGGGAACTCTGACATTCATGATGATTGACAATCTGTTTGTTATTGAGTTATTGCTAGACTTCCTAAATCAGGATTCGGACACAGTTAGGTTGTCGGGGTTGGCTGAGTGTGCAAGAGTGGTAAGTAAATTGAGTTTAGGGAGTTTACTTCTAATGTTATTGTGCATAAACACAAGACTTTTACAATTGCAGAAGTCAGTGAAAGAGATCATCTGGGGCTCAGGGTTGGTACTAGAGATTTCAGGGCCAGGGTTTAGCTCTACATCGTCTGAGGAGCAGATGTGAAGTCATGCGATACATTGCTCAGCATTCCATTGAGAATCTGATAATGATGTTGTGAAATTATAATAAGTAAACACTTTTCATCATCATAATATACACATTTTGTATCAGTTGAATAACCAACTTTTTCACAACTATTGATCAAATAATTATCCTAGAATGTCAGAAAAAAAGTATTTTCCCTGAAGGTTATTAGGACATGTTAATGATGATAGCATGAGCCGACTCCGCAGAAACAGTAGATGGCAGAATCACCCCTATGAGAGCACCACCGGGCGGAAAGCCCTGGTCAGGACGAGAATGCGGAAGTTAACTACGTCATCAAAGTGCGACTGGGTTGCAGTCGCGTGGTGAAAATGGTGTCTGGCTCAGAACCACAACAGGGCCACAGAGCCGGCGCCTATAAACAGAAAAACAAAGGACATAAACATGGAAAACACCGCACAAAAGGGGAAATTGAACGGGAGACCAAGGGTATGTTTGTGACTTCCATTTGTGTGTCTGTAGGAATGAACCGCACATGTCTATTCTGCTGACCCACCAAACACGTGCTTCGGGTTCGGAAGTAATATTAGTTATCTCGGACAATATACTTATTTATTTTATTATGAGAACTGCATACTTTTGTTAAGGCTAATTTAACACATTGGCTTTCGTCCGTATAAGCCATGTTTGGTTGGGATGGGACTTCAGATTGTGATATGCTTTTTGGGCACTACTCTGTGATGCAACGTGTCTCCTTTCCATCAGAACCGTTCTCTCAATACAGTCATTCCAAAAGCAGGGTTAGTATTCAAGCAGTAGAAACGGGCATGTGTATTTCCTATGCTGTACCCGACCTAAATGTTAGTTCATAAATTAATCCGTTATTACGTGGAGATCGGGTATCATTTACTAGTATCCCTGGTTGTGAACCACTGATCTATACTTTAACCCGATGCTCTAAAGCATGGCTTTTATTTTATGCAATGTCCCATAATACCCACCACGCCCCCTTTATCCAGATCTATGTGATTTACCTCTGACTGATGTCATCGCTCACAGGTAGAGTGTCAGTTACTGCTCTCACCAAGAAGCAAAGGAAGGAGGCTAGAAAGACGGATAAACGACACAAAGCCAACCAGCTGCGGCGAAATAAGAAGGATCAGGTGAGATGCTCTTGTTGTCACGTGCGGCATTGCAGATGCAAGACAAAATGCAGGGAACACGACGTGGCTCTAAGACCGTTATCTTGTGACCGTCTGACATGTTCAGGTGCTGACAGAGAAACGTCACCTGGGCAGCAGGGATGGCCCCCCCCACACGGTGGCAGTGGTGGCCCTACACGCTGATGTGGATACGGAGGCTGTGATGAGGCTGTTACGGTGCGAGGGGTCTGGCGGACTGGCGCGTGACGACCAGAGCGTGTGTGGTGTTAGTGACAGCTTTGGCCTGGTCATGCCTCGCTTCAAACAGAGGTTCACCTTCCTCCGTGCAGACACAGGTAACTCGTCGACTTTGCTTTTGCGATGGGTTGTGAACACAAGGTGTTTTATAATGAGCTGATACTGATTTTAAAGTGTGCTTATATATAGGAATCACTATTTATTTGTCTGTCTGTCAGATTATATCGGAAATGTATTTTCCTCCCTCTTTTTCAAGCTGACTTGCACTCTTTACTGGATGTGGTGAAGATAGCAGACAGTCTGGTGTTTGTGCTGGAGTCTACAGAAGGTTGGGACACCTATGGAGATTATTGCCTGTCGTGTCTCTTTGCACAGGGGCTGCCTGCCTATGGTGAGCTTTCTTAAAGAAAGATGTGCCCACTGATTTAGTTCAACCTGTTTGTTAGCTAATTAAAGATACTTAATACATCCCTTTATTTCAAACGTGTAGAACTTTTCTCCCACTCTGTTGCCACGGTCATCTCTGGCATTTAACGTCCACCTCTTTGGCCTACAGCTCTGGTTTGTCAAGGTGTGTCCGACCTGCCTGTGAAGAAGCGGTTGGATTCACGGCGGACTTTGGCCAAGATCTCCGAGGTTCGTTTCCCTGGGGCACGCCTCTTTCCCCTGGACTCAGATCAGGAAGCCACACTGTTGGTCAGACATCTGGGAACACAGAAACAGAGAAGGCTGGGCTTCCGCTCCAGACGTCCTCACCTACTGGCTCAGCGTGTGTCTTACACCCCCAACAGCTCAGACAACGGGCCCTCTACAGGCCTCGGGACCCTGCGTGTGTCTGGTTATGTCCGAGGCTGCCCCCTGCAGGTGGACAGGCTGGTGCACATCGCTGGGTTTGGAGACTTCCAGCTTAGTCAGATAGATGCCCCCGTAGATCCTCTGCCCATCAATTCTACAACCTCGCGCTCTGCCAAACCGGGAAAGGAAGGAGACGTGGACATGCAGGTGTGTGTCACTGTCCATCATGCTGAAAATAGAGTGGGATTGTATTGATCAATTCCGAACTACTAATTTGAAATGTTCTCTCTGTGCCTTCACAGTACATTTTAAATGTATTCACTGTGCCTTCACAGTACATTTTAAATGTATTCCCTGTGCCTTCACAGTACATTTTAAATGTTCTCTCCGTGCTTCGACAGTATGTTCTAAATGTTCTCTCTTTGCCTTTTAGGATGGTGGAATTAATGAAGAGGTGCGGGTGCTGATGAAGGCCGATCCAGCTTGTGTAGAGAGTCTGCAGGCTGAGGCAGAGATTGACCCTATGGATGGAGAACAGACCTGGCCCACCGAGACCGAACTGTTGGAGGCTGAAGGTAAAAGGCGAGAGTGGACAGTGTTATACAGCAACACTACATTGAAATGCATGAGTGGCTGCAGTGGCTTCAGTGGCCTTGTAGACATCCATTGTAATTATACCGTGGAACATTTAAAATTCACTATTGTAATTTCTTTAAATATATATGTGTTCTCTGCACTTTCTCAGAAGCTAGGAAGATAAAGCGTGTCATGAAGGTACCCAAGGGCATGTCAGAATACCAGGCCACGTGGATAGTGGATGAGAACGATGATGACGTCAAAGAGGAGGAAGAGAGCACTGATGAGGATGACGATGACGAAGATGTGATGATGGCGGAGTCCATAGATGGGGAGGACCTTGATTCTCAGTTGGTCAGTATTATTCACTCTACGGCCTGGGGAACTATATGTGTTTGTGTTACAGATTATAGTCTTAATACAGAAGAAAGCAAAAACGTACTAACCACATCCTGGCCGAGGGCAGTGGATACACTCTACGGTTACATCTGACAGTGTAGTTCCTGGTTTGTCTTTTCAAAACTTAAGGAAAGGTGAAGCTTGGCAGAGTGTTAGTAGAACAGAGCTGTGGGAGATGGCGTTTAGCTTTATCCAGGTGTTGATGCTATTATTATTAGTGTTAAACCATCATTTTAATTTACTTGTAATATTACCTTCTGATGCTAACAAAAAAGGAAATGAATTACAAATAAATTACGAGTAAAGATTGTATGGTCCTGGCATCATTGTCGATTTGATTTTGGACATGGAGGTGAATGAGATGTTTAAATGAACACCCAGATAGGAGAGTGACGCTACTGTAGCTATATGTGCAACCGATATGTCTCAACGTAAATGACCTATTTAATTTGTTCAGTCACTTAACTAGTTTGCTATCCTGATTTCACAGTGACCCTGCTTAGCTGTTTGGTGTAACTACACAATGACTGGAACAGATTAACATGTCTACTTCACACACCTAAGTAGATGCACATATTCAAATGTATTCAGTGTCTGAGAAACTGAGAAAGTCGAGAGGAAGCCGCACAGACAGGATGGTGAACAGAAGTGGTGGACACCAGGTGCTTGAGTGTGTTGTTGGTTTTAGGTTCAGAGTGGAACAGAACCGTGTCTACGTGACCTCTGGTTAGTGTGCGACACGGCACAGGACCGCTGTTTGTTTTCTCAGTGTCTGCCTCTGGGTTGTAGTGCCAGGCTGCTCACCGTGGCAACAATAGTTGTTTGGAGCGGCGGTCCCGAGAGAAGCCTCCCTGACTTCCTGCTCCGTGGACACAACTTCCTGTCTGGCCCAGGGGAGGGGGCAGCCATTTATTTATAACGGCCTCTCTTGAAAGGAGGGGGGAAATTCTTTTATGGTGATAAGGTTCGGCTTCATTTATTTTCTTTAATGGTTATTAGCATAGCGTTTGATGTCGGGGTTAGCGCGCAGGATTCAACATGGAGGAGACGCTAACAATGGAGGAAGTGGTGCTCTGGGTGATCATCTATTATTGCAGCTGTGATTGCTCTGAAGCTTCTGAATGGACCTCATGCAGATTGGATTCCCCACATCTATCTCTTCCTAACTCTAATGCCTCGCCTGTGAACCACTTGTACGTTTCCTCGAACTTCCTTGGGCAAACATGTTTGCCCACTATAAAGAAGATTGTTTCTAAATATGATGAAGGCTTTCGCTTGAACCGTCCTCGGGCCAGCCATTGTTTCTTCTCAACCCTCTCCTCGGGGAGAGCCGTTGCGTTTCTTTGATCTAATCCCG